ATCAGACTTCATATGCTATAAGGCTAAACACTTATTATGTAAAATTGAAATTCCCAAAAGGGTGCATGTTTCCTCTTTAGCCATTGGCCTTCTGTGCATGTTTCAGGTAATCAAATGAAATTTGCACTGATTAAATCTAAATTCCACATAAAAAAAGTCCCTTCCTTTGTTCTATATTAAAATTTGCACCGAATCATTTGCATTTAAATATCCTTTTAGATTTAGATTCTTGCCAGTCTCAATCACCATTTACATGATCACTGAAAGATACAAATCTCAGCAAAATGTTGCATATATTGCTTACAATCCTACTTAATTACTTTGAATATGTAACTAAAAATTCAAAACAAAAATAAAATCCCCAATTCCATAGAAATAAAAATCACAGCAAATGGTATCTATGCCCAATTTAGGATTTTGCATTCATTTCACTTTGAATGACTAGCTGCTGTTTTTGAATGAGACACCTGTCTTTATCACATACTGCACACAAACATGTTAAGAAAATCTAGCCTATCGGCTTGTGAAATTCACCATTGAGTGACTATTTCTTACTCATGCACACATTTGCTGGCCCACTTGTTACACATGAACCAAGTTTGTAATGAAGTAGAAGGAAGCAGTATTAACTTTTCATCAACACAAGCATGATTAGACGGGCTGGTTTTTAAAAAGTTGACTTTTTTTTTAAGGGAAGACATTTAAAAAGTTGTAACACTTTCAGATCCATTCATATAAACTGGTCTCTTTTTTTCTGTCTACTTGATGCAACCTCTATCATTAATCAATCCAGGTGTTAACTTAAGTCCTATTGTGCCTTCTACTTGAAAAGAAAAGCAGGCACAGATCCAATCACAAATATACCTACAACCAACTGAGAATCGATATTACATAGCCAAATGGCCATTAACATATCTAGGTTCCATAATATATGCTACAAGGAGATGTTACTGAAACTTTGAAAAGAATTTCTATAAGGACTTAATAAGCTTAATGGTAAATAATAACTAAATTTATTGAACATTTAAATCAAGCAAGACAGAATCAGTTTCAAATATACTAAACATTGTAACTAACTGTTAAGCTAGTTTGATCATTAATATTTCCTAACTAAGGACTTGTTAGTAGGCTTTGTTTGTGTAGCCTAAGAAATTAAGTTATTTAATAACTTCACTGAGCTTTTCTGACATTACTGGGGTTTAGAGAATTCTGCTTGGTCTTGCTGCCCTCTCTCTTTCGGTCCTGTGCTCTCTTCCCTTCCTCAGATTTCTTCCTCAGGCTTGTACCCTGGTCTCTGGAGCTTACTTCTTTCTTGGTCTGTCTATGATTTAAGTTAGATTGCTCAGCTTGAAGGTTATTTAGAAATCTGTCAGGAAACCCTTACATTAAGGTGGGAAAACAAACAAACAAAAAACAACTAGCTCTCTGGCAGAATGAAACTGGGAGAACAATCCCTCAAGAATCAAAACATACTTACTCTTTTTGGTGAGTTTTTAAAATAAAGTTTAAATGTCAGTTGCTCAGTTGCGCCAGGCACATTTCAAATGCTCAGTAGCCACGCAGTGTGGCCAGTGGCTACTTACAGGACATGCAGATACAGAGCATTTCCATTACTGCAGAAAGTTCTATTGGGCAGCATTATTTTAGAAAATGGTTACTTCTTTGCTCTTCTTTGTTTTCTCTAACTTTTACAGTGCTTACGAATTACTTTTATAATCAAAACAACAATGAGATTATTTACACCTTAAGGGAAGCTTCCTTGATCTCAATATGAATTTAGACTAAAGGGAACCCATATCATTATTATCATGATTTACTTTATCTAAAATATATGCACCATAAATGGGGTTCTGTACTGACGTTATCTAGCTTTTTCTTTTTTAATAAAGAGCTTCTCTGAAATTTCTTCATTGTAACTATCTAAAACACAGACGTGTTTAGTGATTCACTGCGTCCTTTACTTCAGAGTCGCATTGAGAAAACATCTATTCAACCAGAAGTGAAAAAAGAAAATTACTTACTTGGCAATTAATCTTTGTCAGCATTACTTTTACATTTATGTGCACTAAGGAATGGTCTATGGGTAGGGGAAATGATAGTGGAGTTGTGATTGAGCTATATTAGGAAGTTTGTCAAACATCACCTATGAATATCAGAAGCTACAATATTGGAGACCCATGGGCCAGGCTGTGCATATCTATCTAAACATCTATTTATCTGTTTGTCTCTCCTTATTTATGCTGGTCTGCAAAGATCTGGCCCACCTGGGGGGGGGTCTGACTTTTTTGTTTTTGTTTTCAATGTTGTAACGTGTTTCTTTTCCTTTTCATTTTATGTTCTTTTGGTGGGGGGCGGGGATCTGACTTTAAAATCAACTTCCTTCATTTAAAATTTGGAAGATTTTTAAGAATGTGGATTTTTGCTTCTCTTAAAATATCAGATCTGACAATACTAGATCTAGAGTTCTGAAGGGCAGCTCAGTAGACTTAAGAAAAGGAACGCTGCTTTCCTGCGGGCAGAGTTGTTGAAGTCCCACCCCCTCACGCCCCCCCTTCCCCCACTGTCTCTCACAGTCAACCTGCCAGTGTACTTATGCAGGCATCTGAGTTTGAGTCTGCTCCTTATGTGAAGAGCAGTCACCACATATTCTGGTTAGATGTGGAAGTGCCTGAGTAACTACATGATTTGACACAGCTCAGGCAGTGACAATCGTGTTCTATCTCAATTTGGATTAGTCAGTATTTCACACCACTTCCACAAACTTCTGTTGGTGTCTTAATAGAGTTCATTGTATGGTTCATTGTTACTATAGCTCACAGTATATGCCCATCAAAATAGATCAGTTAGACCTTAATGCACAAAAATATCATGAGTTAATTGTCAAAACTGTCCTTGATAATATGATACACAATAAGGCGACTTTGATTTCAACCTATCAGTTTCTCAGTCAATTCTGTTGTTTATTGGAAGACAGTGAAAGAGGCCACTTAACCTTATTAGAGATGCTGAGTAGGTGTCTGTGGAACTTATGGGATTTTTCTAAGACACATATATGTTGATAAGGGAGTGAGGCAAATATTTGTGTATGACTGCAAAGATGCTGTTTTTTTTTTTAAGTTATTAGCATTTATTTGGTGCTGAATTTACTCCTGGGCCATAAGTATTTGTTTCTTCAGTTTCTTCTGGGAGATCTTTTTCTTCTGTGAAACCTCCTCTTCTGGTTCAGGAACAATCTGCTTTTTCAGTGAGGATCATCTCAGTGTGGCAGGGGGAGCTCGGGTATGGGTTAATCTGCCAGTCAGCTCTGTATGTTCTGTGCCACATCATGGGAGCTTTGTTCACCTGGTTGTGCTCCATGACCAGGATGTCTGCATCTAAACCCTTAAGTTCAGCATTCCTCTCTGCAATTTTAAGCATGCGCAGTAAAAATTCTCACTCTTTTTGGGCCACCGACCCTGTGTCCAGCCCCAGTGTTTGGCTTGGGCACATCTACCAACTTCACCATTGTAACGATGGAATGGCACACATTACTTCTATAATGTGACACCCTTCAGATACTTGGTGGCTTTCCCGATATGCATACCCTTGATAGCCTGGGCAGTTTCATGAGTGATCTTAAACACAAAGATTTGAACTTCTTGATTTGCATGATGTTGTATGGTTTTCAGGGTTAAGTGAATAGTGATCTATTTCAGAGGTAACTTCAGGTTGCTTTCAGGAAGAAAGCCTAAGACACTTTTGAAAGGCAGCTCTAAAGGAGGCAAAAATGTTTTGTGCAATCAGTGTCAGTGAAATCACTTGAATCTTCCAAAGCAATTACTCTGAAGGGCAGAACTCATCGTCTTTCCTGTATATTTGTTTTTGTGGTGGTTATTTCAAGTCACTCCCACTCTCTACAGTTACAAGCGGTTGGTACACAGTTCATTCTTCACCAGTGCAAGTATATTAAGAAGCATGGGACTTGTTGCATAAAACACATGTGTGAGCAGGGACTATTTCCCCAAGGTACCGGATTGCCCCATGTATAAGACGCTCCCATGTATAAGACATACCTTAATTTTGGGGCCTGAAATTTGAAAAAAAAATTACAGGTAGTTATTGAACTCAAGTTTTATTCATCATAAAATTCATACAACTCCTCATCACTTGTGGGAAATGCAAGTAAAAAAATCTACAACCACTGTATAAGACGTACCCCATTTTTAGACCCCAAATTTTTCAAAAAAGGGTGCGTCTCATACATGGGGAAATACCATAACAGATATCTACAAAAATATTTTAAGTGGAACTGCGTAGAGAATCTTGGATATTTCCTGTTCTGTTTACTTTTGCCTCTTGGTAATTGAAATGTCCAAGGTGCTTTGTTTTATAAGTAATTTCTATGGTCTTATGGGCATAATTCTACATTGATCAAAGGTCAAATGCAGTACTATTAGGGTATGGGCAAACCCTCATACAATTGAAAACGCAATGGGGAGGCCTTAAACAATATTTTGGAGAGAGTGTTTTTTTTTTTAGAAGTTTAACCCCTTTTTAAAAATATTTCAGAGAAATTCCAAGCAAACCATCATCCTCGTTTCAGAAATGAAGAGACTAATGCATAGGCGGAAAGTAATGTGTGCAAAACCCCAACCATGTATAGTTAAGAGAGAAGTCGCTTTCTAGTTTCAGGCTTTTGTTCCTAACGTGGTAGGGTCTGCTGTCCCTTCTAAAAATGAATAAGGGAAAGAGAGACTGGCTATAAATAAACTTCTAGAAGGAATGGCTCAGAATACAGGGTTTCTGGCGGGAATCCCGCGGAAACAGGCTCCACAGCTCTGTGGACTGGCTCCACAATCCTGTTTTGCTCTGATCCACGAACTCAGCCTGGCGGGCTCCACGCCTTTGTACAGGGTTTTGCCACGAGGAGACAGGTGAGAGTGTGTTCCAGAGACACGCGCTCATCGCGGTACTAGTAGCTTGGGGATTGGGAAGTTACTATCTGGAGAAAGCGACCTTTGGGTTATTTGGGACCCGTTGTTTTCCTCTTCCTATTTTATTCCATCTTTTGCCTGGAGCCAGAGTGCACCGCACACAGGCTGCAGGCTTTTGAATCTGAACTCGCGCTACCCAAGTTGCAAACTGTCAGCAGAAACCTGTTAAGCGAATTACTGCTGATCGTGGGTAACAAGGATCTGAACTCGCTTTACCTTCCCGTGGGAGTGCAGCGACCGCCCACTTAGAGTTGCTGCAGCGCCCTGCTCCCTGGCTCTGGCCCAGGGTGCCCCGGGTTTGTCCTCCGCGCAGTCGTGCGGCTCTTTGCTGTGGTTCTGCACGGGTCCAGCGCCGCGCCTCTGCTCCTACAAGCGGGAAACAAGGAAGCAACTTCTCCCTCCCACGGCAGCCTCCTGCCAGCTGGAAGTCTCCTGTTGCCTACCGCGCTGGGCACTGCAGCCCCTGGCTCCCACCTGAGTCTGTCCGCCCGTCTTCGCCCTGATCCTCTCCTTTCCCGGGAGGATTTGGTGAATCCGGACCGCGTCCGGGGTCCTTCCACGCAGGGTCACCTGTCGCGGAACTGAAGAGCGGAGAGCAAAGCGAGGGGTTCGTGGAAGGGAAAAGGGTAGAAGTGGTGCAAACCCAGAGTATCAAACTTAGGGGTCGCGGCGGTGGGGTGGGGGGCGTGTGTGGGGTGGTGTTAAGAGTAGCAGTTGCAGGTGGTGGTGGGGACCCGCGAGGGAGCGCCGCGCTGGGTAGGGTTCCGCTGCGTGGCTTCTAAGCCCAGGAGGCAGCAGAGAGGCAGTGGTTGCTGTCCCCACTTCCTCGCCCCGGAAACTTCCCTTCTAGCCCTCTCCGCGGGACCATCGCCCCCACCCTCTGCATCTTTTTCCTTTTCTTCGAGGGAGGGGTTAACCTCCCCCTCCATCCTCTCCACCACCCTCTCTGCAGCCTCCCATCCTCACTCGCTCACCCCAGCTGCTCTGTGCGTGGCCGGAGTGCACTTAGTCGCGGAGGTCCGCGGCGGAGCCTCCCAGCGCCAGGCTCCCAGCGCCAGGCTCCCAGCGGCCCAGACTGCGGGGCCACGCCGCGCACGCCAGCTGCTCTCTTGCGCTGCGAGGGCTGCCTTGCACCTTCTGAACTGAGGGAACTGGACTTGCCTTCGGGGACCTTCCAGAGCCTTCTCCGGATCCACCAGCTAGATAATCATCGTTCCTACGGGCTGCACACGTTTCATTTGCGCGTCTCCGAGAGGGTCGGGTGAGTAAGTGTAAGTCTTAACTCTGATTCACCTTCTGAGAACGAGAATACCCCCCAAAGAAGCAGGTCCTATGAAGAGGGCGTGGGGGAGGGTAGATCCTCATGCATGTAGGGACTTTCCTCCTCCATTTAGGGGGTTAGGAGGGATACCATCCCCATTTCCTACTTTCGCTAGAATTTTTTTTTTTTCTACTGAAGATGCTTGACTGTTTCCTTGACCCTCCTTAGAGAGGGGTCATTAGCTTTCCAAAAGAACAAGTTGTTACTGTTCCTGCCTCTTCTTTAAAAAGCAAACCCCTGTCTAAAGTGGAAGGTCATATTGGATTCTCTCAAGCTGTTCAAGAATAGACACATTTATTTGAGCAGTCACTGGTTTTCTACCAGAAGGGCTCACCCATTGGTGGGAGCATATGATGGACGAGAAAGAGGCAAAAGAAAAATCTTTAATACTTTTTTGCAATAGGGACACGTCATTTAAAATCAGTGACCTGAAATAGGCAATGCTGTTTTCAGAGAAAGGCTGCAAACTCAAATACACTGAAGAGAGACATTCCCAAGCCCTTTGGTGAATATTTTAAACTTTCTGCTTAAGGCGAACAGCCATGTCTTGCATGTAGCATTCTTGTATGTCCATACCCCTCTCGCCCAGGACTAACAAGTGGAAGGCCTCTGGCATTATTTCTGGGATTTTTCCCCGGGAAAAATTCCTGGAAGGTCTTATGATTGATAAGATGTTGTTTTTCTAAGACCCACCTGTGACAATAACAGTACTGTTATAAATAGTCCCACAAATGTAAATATGTAGTTAAAGCAGAAACTGGCTTCCTACTGAGATAATTTGAAGTTCTTTGAATCTCTGGGAGGGGGGAAAAACCCCCCTGAAGCCATGTTCCTATTCTACAAAGAAATATTTCTATAACAGAATCACTACAGGTTTACTTATTCAAGAAAACTGTACCATTCACAGTTTTCCTTAAATGTCTTGAACAATGTGATCACCTCATTTTGCCTTATTTCAAGGAAAGAGTTTTTCCCTTGTCTACTTCTCTTAATTTTTGTACTCCCGAGTTTTTAATCTAGCAACTCCCTCTTTGTATTCTCTTTTCCTTTTCCACTTTTCCAGAAGTGCAATCATAAAATAATACATTCTCAGGGTAAGCTCTAACCTGGCTGAAGGCCAGTAGCATGCTTGCGAACAGCTATTATATTAATGCCCATAAGCTAATAGCCTGTAGATCAGTAACCATCCCTACAGCGAAGTTTTAAATAAAGGGGCTTTGAAATAACAAAATTGGGATTGAAAAGAAAAAGAAATTAATAAATATAGTCCTAATATCCTTCTACCTCTGGCTCACTCTCAGTTTAGTTTGTGGCAAACCTCAAACTCAGACTTCTGGGAGTCTTGCTCATTCTGTTAATGACTTGCCAGGACTGACTAATTGTGCTCTGTAAACTCTCTTTCTTAGTCTAAGGGAGTGGTACTCCCTATCAAATATACACTCCAAGATTTGAATGGTTAGTTTCCATTTTCTCTAATTAAGAGTGGAGGCAAATGCAAAATAAATCCAAGGCTTTTTGGAACATTCTATTTGAAATTTATGCAGAGACAGCTTTAATATATTAGTAAAATAAGTACATGAGTACATAGAAATCTCTCTCTCTGGTAAGGCTCCTATCAGAGTTTGTGTGTGTGTGTGTGTGTGTGTGTGTGTGTGTGTGTGTGTGCGCGCGCGCGTGTGGAGGGGGGTAAGCCCTTGAGATAGAAAGTTTCCTTATGGGTATACTGATGGATAGTTTTTAATGTTCTAATCAGGGATTGATTGAAGAAGGATCTTGAAACAACTTTCTTGTATGGGTGGTTATCTAACAAAGGACAAGGCGATCACAAAGGCAATGATCTGTATAGGCAATTATCTTAAGTAAAGGAAAGGATCAAAATTCCTTTAGCTTCATATTTGTTTTGCTAAATTATTGAGTACCATTAATATGTTAGATTGTGTGCTAAGGACTAAATAATAAGTGGAAAAGATCCAGTTTCTATCCTCAAAGAGATTGTTTGAGGTGGCTGAAGGAAAAAAATTGCAATATGGAATGTAGTATTTTAGCATCAGAAGTGAGGACAGGTTGTTGGGGGAACTGAGAGGCTTCCCAGTGCAGAACAGGGAGGGCAGAGAGGCATGAGAAAGGCTGATGTGTTGCTGGAATTGGAAGTAGTTTAGTATGATAGAAGCATAAGGTAAGGTACATACTGAGATTTCAGGAGAGGTGAAGCCAGGGGTAGGCAGGGGTGAGTCCAAGAAAAGCTTTGAATGCCACATACAGTGGAGTTGGGATTTTCTTCATATGTCAATGCTATCACCCTGTGCATGCAGAACCTTTATTGGAAGAGCAAGTCAATGAAGCAGCAGATCGTGCAAAACAGAAGCTAGTCAAGAATGTAAAAGAGAAGCAATTAAATGTAGAGAATTGGTTACACAAGTGATGGAAGCTAAACAGGGGATGTTGTGGTCACCTGGGGATTAATAAGCGCAAGAAGCCATTATTGCCTCCAGCTGGAGGGACACAGAGAGGAGGCAGTGTGACAGAAGCCAAGGGACTAGGGCCATCCACTGGAAACAGAATCACTACGGGCCAGCCCTGTGGGAACCAGAGCTATGGAGAGACTGTTGAGGCTCCGCCCAGAGGAGAGAGGGAGGGAGAAGAATACAGTGGCTTCTGCCTTCCTCCTGCACTCTGCCAGTGCCTCCCATCGGCCAAACCTGGCCAGCGTTCTGAAGACTCAGGAGTGTGAAAACATAGTCTGCAAGAGTGAGCCCTCCAGGGGGCGGCTGAGGGATGGAGTTCGGGGCATGTATGCCCTGCCTGGCTTGGTCTGATGATTCACAATGTAGGCAGATGCTATTATGATTAATAAAAATCATTCATTTAGAAAAGGTTCTGAGTTAATGGCAGAAATCTTTTATCATTATGAGTGTACTCAAAAGGTACTACAACTGTGATATTGGGCTGTGGGTATTTTTATATACTTGAAAAAGGAACTTTATGTTAGAAAACAATATATTATACAGTAAAACCTTGGATTGCGAGTAATTTGGTTTGCGAGTGTTCCGCAAGACGAGCAAACATTTCTAATACATTTTAACTTGGTAAACGAGCGATGTCTTGCAATATGAGTAGTTTGTTTCCAGAACGAATTATGCTCGCAAACTAAGTACATTTTAACTTGATAAAGGAGTGATGTCTTGCAATATGAGTAGTTTGCTTCCGGAACGAATTATGCTCGCAAACCAAGGTATTACTGTATATATATATTTTAAATTAAAGTTTACTGCGGTGACAATGGTTAGTAAAGTTACACAGGTTTCAAGTGTACAATTCTGTAATACATCATCCACATATCACATTGTGTGTTCACCACCCAGAGTCAGTTCTCCTTCCATCACCATATATTTGACCCCCTTTTCCCTCTTCTACCACCCTCCTCCCCCCTTACCCTCTGGTAACCACTAAACTATTTTTGGTGTCTCTGAGTTTTTCTTTCTTATTTGTTTGTCTTGTTCCTTTGTTGTTTTCAGTTTTATCCCACATATCAGTGAAATCATATGGTTCTTGACTTTTTCTGTCTGATTTATTTCTCTTAGAATAATAATCTCAAGATCCATCCATGTTGTCGCAAATGGCACTGTTTCATCTTTTTTATGGCAGAGTAGTATTCCATTATGTATATATACCACATCTTCTTTATTCAGTCGTCTATCGAAGGACACTATTTGTTTCCATGTCTTGGCCACCGTAAATAAAGCTGCAATGAACATTGGGGCACATATACCTTTATGCATAAATGTTTTCAGAATTTGAGGTTAGATACCCAGGAGAGGCATTGCTGGATCATATTGGAATTCTATTCTTAATTTTTTGAGGAACCTCCACACTGCCTTCCATAGCGGCTGCACCAATCTGCATTCCCGCCAACAGTGTATGAGGGTTCCTTTTTCTCCACAGCCTGGTGTGAGCTGATATCTCATTGTGGTTTTTATTTTCATTTTCTGATAATTACTATTATATTGTTTTAAGCAATCTAGGGAAACTGGGGAAATTATATCATCACACTTGAATGCCAGAAAATTATATTTTTATGTCAGAGTGGGCTGTGTCCAGTAAAATAAATGTAAGAGCCTTAGAGTAGAGGCCCTAGCCTGTTGTCTTCAGCCCCAGCACAAATCCTAGTTCCTGATGTAGGTTTTTAAGTGCTTGCTGAATGTGAAAATGGAGCCATGCCTAGCATTTAGAAGATGCTCAATTACATTTGGTAAGTGAGTGAATGAATGAAAAGAAGAAAGAAAGCAGGAGAAGAGGAAGGGAGATAAGTTAGAAGATCATTATACTAATTATGGTTAGAATCAAGGCCAAAACTATGTGGTAGAAATGATGAGGGCCATTGGGAGACATAAAACATCAGTCTGAGGGTTTTCTTAAATGTGGGGCTAAAGGAGATGAAAAAGCCTAGAACAATTACCTGCTTTTTAAGTTACTTGGCTTAATCAATGGGTATATCATTGATTAAAGAAGGAAAAGTCGGATTGGGAGAGTGCAAGCAGAGAAGAAAACTGTTAAAATTTAATATTTAGGGGTTAGAAAGAGATGTAGTTCAGATTTGGACATATTTTTCATATAGTTCTTATGTAGGATTCTGTATATGTCAGGTAGGAATTTTATTTTAGATAATAAAAATAAAGCAACTGTTTTACACAGGCTACCTTATTTTTTTTGTTATTAGTTTCAGGTGTACAAAGCAATGTAATAGTTAGACATTTATACCCCTCACAAAGTGATAACCCCCACAAATCTACTACCCCTCTGACATTGTATATAGCTGTTACAATACCATTGACTATATTCCCTATGCCAGACTCCACACCCCGTATATATATGTATATATATTTAATTATAGTTGACATTCAATATTATTCTACTTTAGCTTCAATATATAGCATATTGGTCAGGCATCTACACAATCTATGATGTGATTCCCCTGACAAGTCCAGTGCCCATCTGGGACATAATCTTTACAACATTATTGGTTATATTCCCCATACTGTATTTCATATCCCCGTGACTATATTATGACTACTAATTTTCACTTTCTAATCCCTTCACCTTCTCCCCCATTCACACCCTCCTTCCATCTAGCAACCTTCAGTTTTTTCTCTGTATCTCTGAGTCTATTTTTGTTTAGTTTGCTCGTTTATTCTGTTCTTAGATTCCACATATAAGTGAGATCATATGGTATTTGTCTTTCTGAGTCTGACTTGTTTCACCTAGCGTAATATTCTGTAGGTTCATCTGTGTCATAATGGTAAGATTTCATTATTTTTTATGGTAAGATTTCATTCTTTTTCATGGCCGAGTAATACTCTATTGTATAAATATACCACAGTTTCTTAATCCAGTCGTCTACTGATGGGCATTTTGGTTGTTTCCAAGTCTTGGCTATTGTGAATAGCAATGTTTAATAGGGGTGCATATATTTTTTTGAATTAGTATTTTGGATTGCTTTGGATAGATACCCAGCAGTGGAATTGCTGGGTCATAAGGTAGTTCGATTTTCAACTTTTTGAGGAACCTCCATACTGTTTTCCATAGTGGCTGCACCAATTTGCAGTCCCACCAACAGTGCACAAGGGTTCCCTTTTCTCCACATCCTTGCCAACACTTGTTTGTTGATCAGGCTACCTATTTTTAATAGTAACACTTACACTAAGAAAAATGGTTATGAAACAGAATCTGCTCAGTTTATCCTCAATATTTTATACTCCCAAAGTACAGGCACCAGGCAAAGGGTTTTAATATGTGTCCCTTTTTTTTTGTGCAATTTGTTGCTATATTTATGAATTTAAAAGAGTCAAGATATTGAAGGAAACTTTATCTACCTTAAAATTAACTTGATGAATTTATAGCAGTTACACAATTAATTGATAATGTTTCTAATATTCATCCCATTTAAAATTGATTGAGTCAATATGGTAGAATTTACATTGGAATTACGTGTATACACTATAGGTATTATAGTCTACCATTGTAATATACATGCCGAGGACCTGATTTAATTCATCCATACTTAGACTTATAATGTCTAATTAAGTCACATGAAGCCGACTTATCGAAGGGCCTTCTTTATTAAAATGTTATACTAGGTGAAGTTTGAGAGATCAAAGGACAGGTATTTTGAGCCCCAACCCAAGTGAAACTAATCCATTTGTGATATTCTTTTGCCTCCGCTTATGTTTTCCTTATTCCATTTTTCCTTTATTGTACATTCTTGTGCTAGTTGCTGAAAATGGGCCCAATAGGTACAGAGGCTGATGAGAACCAGACAGTGGAAGAAATGAGAGTGGAGCAGTATGGTCCAGGGCAAACCACTGCTAGAGGTGAGCTGGTCCCTGACCCCGAGCCGGAGCTTATCGACAGCACCAAGCTGATTGAGGTGCAGATTATCCTCATCCTGGCCTATTGCTCCATAATTGTGCTCGGGGTGATTGGCAACTCCTTGGTGATCCACGTGGTGATCAAATTCAAGAGCATGCGCACAGTCACCAACTTTTTCATTGCCAACCTGGCTGTGGCAGATCTTCTGGTGAACACCCTATGCTTGCCATTCACTCTTACCTACACCTTGATGGGGGAGTGGAAAATGGGACCTGTCCTGTGCCACCTGGTGCCCTATGCCCAGGGCCTGGCAGTACAAGTGTCCACAATCACCTTGACAGTCATTGCCCTGGACCGGCACCGTTGCATCGTCTACCACCTGGAGAGCAAGATCTCTAAACGAATCAGCTTCCTGATCATTGGCTCTGCCTGGGGCATCAGTGCCCTGCTCGCAAGCCCCCTGGCCATCTTCCGTGAGTATTCACTGATTGAGATTATTCCCGACTTTGCGATTGTGGCCTGTACTGAGAAGTGGCCTGGTGAGGAGAAGAGCATGTATGGCACTGTCTACAGTCTTTCCTCCTTGTTAATCCTGTATGTGTTGCCTCTGGGCATCATATCTTTCTCCTACGCTCGTATCTGGAGTAAACTTAAGAACCACGTCAGCCCCGGAGCTGCTAATGATCACTACCATCAGCGAAGACAAAAGACTACCAAAATGCTGGTGTGTGTGGTGGTGGTGTTCGCGGTCAGCTGGCTGCCCCTCCATGCCTTCCAACTTGCTGTGGACATTGATAACCATGTCCTGGACCTCAAGGAGTACAAACTCATCTTCACTGTCTTCCACATCATCGCCATGTGCTCCACCTTTGCCAACCCCCTTCTCTACGGCTGGATGAACAGCAACTACAGAAAGGCTTTCCTCTCAGCCTTCCGCTGTGAGCAGAGGCTGGATGCCATTCACTCTGAGGTGTCCGTGACATTCAAGGCCAAAAAGAGCCTGGAAGTCAAAAATAACAACGGCCCCAATGGCTCCTTCACAGAGGCTACCAACGTCTAAGAAAGCTCTGAAGTGAAAATATATGGATGAATTCTGACCAGAGCTATACATCTGGTTGAGGAGGGCTCCCAGGTGCATCCTGATTTCCCATCTTAAGGAAGAAAAAGAGCATCTGCGTGGAAGCATCTTCGGTGTAATTTGTGGAAACCTGGTTGTTGGCAGAACCTAGGTAAAAACATGCATATTCAAAGCTAGGGCAACAAAACAGTTTGCTTATCGTTGCTTGGATGGTAGGGTGAATGATGAGTAAAAGCAGAGAGAAGTGCTTGTGACTATTTCCCAGAGTGAAGGAAACATGAATAAAGAATTGGAATTATCAGCATTGCTCAAAGGTGGTCAGCAAATAAGTTGACTTTCAAATCACATTGGAGAGTAGATTGAGGAGAATCCACTGCTCCCCTGTTATCTGATGAGAAGATGACCAAATACCAATTTCCCTATGGAGCTACAGGCTCTCCTTTATTGTATTTTTTTTCATTTTATTGTATGAATCTTCCTATGGACTAAATTCACCAGGGAATGCTGTAGATAAATGTTACCAACTATTTGAATGACTTCGAGGAAATAAACAGAAATTTGCTATATAATTTGTATTTTGACAAAGTGGAAGAAATCCTTGATACTTAGCCAGTTGTTCTTAAAACCAGATGAATGTTTAGTTAAAAGTTTCTTTAACTCAGAATCAAAGGTTGAATTTCTCAGAATTATAGAAATGTAAACCATCATTTAACTTCTCATTTCAAGTTGCTGCTTTATGTTGATACTAGTTAGATAACAAGCATAAAATGGAATACATTTTAGTCATTTAGTTAATTAACATTGTTTTAACTTTTTGAATGTCTTATTCCTATATTGGCACTGAGTTTATCTTCATTAAAAATTAAATCAGATTATAAAATAATTTTTGTGGAATTTTGTAACATTTTGTGATTATTTGTAAGCAGTTTTTGCACAGGTACATAGCTTTAATGAACACTATAGTGTGATTTTTTATGAAATTCATCTTTTATGGACTCATTCATGACTAATGTAACAGCATAATTTCATCAAAATGGAACCCATCTGGTAAGAAGTATTAAAAACATTGGATTCATTCCACCTTGCAAATGTACTATTTGGACCAATTTCAACATGAATTATACTCTTCTCAAAATTATTAGCTATATTATTTGGATGACTTACGAATATATACATAATAAAATTGTATGTATAAAGTGGGGCATATATACTATAATATTTTTCATTTAATGATTTTATGAATATAATTTCTACTTTAACAGCACCTGGCCAAAGATGCTTAAAACCCTATTCTGTTCATGAAAAATAATTGAGATGTTAAAATAATTATACTTCTTTGATGCTGTTAAAGAAGTTTCATTGTAATCATATTTTTGTAAGTGTGACTGAATTTATGAATACATTCCTTAAATTTTAAATAAATTCAATGTATTACATTTACTTATAAGCATTAACTTTTTGAACTGGAGAGTTTCATTTTATGGATATATTTAGAATTCACACTATGGCTCTTATTGAGTTACTTCCATGCTAGAAATCAAAGACTGTACTTTTGGAATAAAGAAAAAGAAAGAATACGATAGAATTTAGATTAAGTAGAAGGCTGATTAAGAATTACCCAAAAACACTGTATATGTGTAATATATCATATATTTGAAGAATTCATTTTCTGTTGTACTTGACATAACTATCCAAGAAGTGTTTTGCCCTTTAAATAGCAGTTACTTTGCATTAGATGCTAGTAGAAAATTGTGGGTAAAGGATTTTTTTTTTCCTTTTAGAGAATTCTTACACTGTAGGAAATGTGTATGCTACTGTATTATTTGTTCTGGTGGTAAATTATTAGAATTTAAATAATGATCCAGTTAATATATATGATCGAATTAGTTCTGTTGACTCAATATCTTTTTACACAGTGATTTTATCTGTTGAAATAAAAAGAATTTGGTAAATGAGAAATTGTGTGATATTTTATATTAGAGTTCCTGCTCAAGATGAGGTAGTAAGCTTTTGATACAGCTGAAAAAAGGAAACAAAATGGTGGCTCCTCAGCAGTTAGTCTAGCTCTCTTTCCATTCTGTACATAAACTTGAGTCAATGGATCCACTCCTATAGCTGCAATTATAATCCATATTCTGACAATGCCTGCATCTTTATTTTTAGACCAGACTTTTCATCTGAACTTCAAACGTGGATCTCTGTTGGCTGACTTGACATATGCATGTGGGTGTCTCACCAGCAGATCAAAACCAGCATGTCTAAAACAGAACCTGCCATATTGTGATGCCCACCCCACCGCACCCCACCTTGTCTTCCTGTATTTCCTGTCCCAGTCATGACTCTGCGGTCTACTCAGTTCCCAAGAGCCTTACACTTTGGAGCTACCATTGACTATTCTGTCTCTTTATCACATATGTCTGGTTGATTCCCACATTTTGTTCCAATTCCTAGATGCTCAGTCAATTCACTTTTCTCCATCTGTATGGTCCCTGCCGTAGTCCAGGCTGTGAGAATCTCCCCAGGCTCCTATTACCTCTCATCTGGTTTAATGTAGCAACTTTCTAATTGGTCTCTATATCTTATTGTCTTCCCATCCAATCCAGCTTTTACCCATTAGCCAGAATAATTTTTCAAAAAGTCAAAGAAGAATATGGTGCTTCATTTCTATTGGACGATTCTGACAATTTTGAGAAATCCCCAAATGGTCATTTTTAGTTTCAGCCTCATCCTTTCCTCTCAGTACCTGTTTGGCTTCTTCAGAATTGCAGTGATGCAGGTTGACTCTATTTTTTTTTTCCTTTTTCTATTATCAAAGCCAGTGTGTTAAAAGATATTCTTTAAAGTGGTCCCATTAGTACAGGTGGACTAAAGAGTAAAGAGTAAGTAAAGACCATTTCTTTTTCCTATGGTAGGTTGATTGGAATGGAGGAAGAAAGAATTATATCAAGACTTAAACGGCAACCTAAACACCACAGAAGCGTATGAATTCTGGATTACCTTCCCAAGATTAGCACAAGAAATGATGCCTCAGGGAGGAAATAGTCTTTAAACTTTTCAAGTTGATAAGAGATGAAATTTTAATATACATGGCAGCAAAAGACAGAGTTTACTTTTCATTAAGAAAGAAGAACATAAAGAAACCACACAAAGATAGTGCAGAATGCAAATATCTTCATGCTTATGTCTCATGATATTAAACAAAGAAAGACAGGCATTTTATTAAAGGGTTATTAAGGATTTACTTGTGAAGATTTATAAACAATACCTGTCTGTTAGACCATTGACCTTTTTCTGACTTGGTACCCTGGTCAGATGTCCACAAACTCCCCAACTTCTGGGTATGAAAGAGGGTACAGGAAAGATAGACTGCAGGTTATGGCGATTCACATGTGATCTACAATTCCCATTCTTTCTTATTAGTTAATGTGTAACTAGATAAAAGTAAATGAAAATAACTAACCCTGAATATATTCTCCTTTATAAACAAATCAATGCCAAGTTTCAACACTCACAAATTACTTGCAAAATACCACAAAGCTGATCACAATACCGTAGGCACATGTTGTTACATTAAAATTAAAATGTGCTGCACTTCATGAGAAATAAAAAAAATAAGTGAATATTTAAAAATTGTTTTTTGCCCTTCTCATAGGAAAGTAACTTGCATTGTAAAGAGAAATAAGGAAGTCTATATGTCTGTGTACCTACAGATATTTAATTACAAACATAAAAACCTCTTCGAGGTACACTATCATCCAATATCGTACATTGTTTGTGTATAGAACATTCAAACATCTAAAAGTGGTTATTAGCCGTTTTTCATATGGCATACTGTTCCCGTGGTTGTCCCTATAGAAGTAACTATCACTGGTCGTTGGGTGGGTGGAATGAGGGGAGGGGGAGATGCACTCTGGAATGCAAACAGAAGTGATTTGAATATATGCGTTTAAGAAAGCTCCTTGGTGAGTGTAACCTATTTTCCTCAACCAGTTGATAAATGAAGATGACACATATCAAACTGGTGTTTATCATTTTGAACACCAACACATTTAAAAATGCTTAGAGTCATCTATTAAGGTAGAATAAGCTATGATCAGCCTCTAAGGACATATGACCCTACTGTGCAATCATTCCTGTTCTTTGACAGAAGCAAATCAGAATCTTGTTTCAAGAATGTAATTGAGGAGGGAAAGAAAAGTGGATTCTCAGGAGAGGTATTTAGGGCCAGGACAGCTGAGGGCACTGTGTAGATTAAGTTGGAGCCAAATACAACCAGTCAGCATAGATCTACAATATCCGGATCCCACTGGACTTGCCATATTGACTTATGTAACAATAGGATCTAGGGGGACAGAGACCATGTAGTTTTAGATTCACTGAAGACATCAGAAAAATTTCACACTTGAGGATTTCTCCTGATTTTCTGTTCCAGGAAAAATAATTTACCAGAAATAAAAACTTCCTATTTGCTACATGGACAACCCCATTTAAACAATTGCCTCAGTACTTTTTGTCAAAGGCACAAAAAGCCTCACAGATGGACAGATATAGTGTACTTAATAGTTCATGACCTCCAAAGCTCCACAGGAGTTACATAAATCTGGTTTGTCTCCAAGATAAGGATTTTATACTTGCGTCCTGGTGTTTAGCTTAAAAGTCTAAAATTAAACGTAGGCATTCCTTACTTAGGAGGACCCACATGAGAATTATTTATAATTGTTATTACATTCCAAAACAAAGTAAAACAGATGATTATAGTCATGAATATTAGACCTTTTTTTGTAAAAACAGGTCCCAACAGCTATTTTTTTGTCGTAGATATGATTAGAGAATACGAATAAATGAAATTTTGGAACTGTCAGTGTTGTGATGTGGTGCTACTTTCATACCAAATAGTTGCACATAGATCTTGAGCAGTTTGCAACTAGTGCTAGTCATTTGTACTGATATAATTACCCTCTCTTACTGAATACACTTTGCCTACCAAGTACATTCTTAAAGATAGTTGCATAACTGTGCAATAAAGTGATGTCATCCTTGTAGAAAACTCATGGCGTCAAACAAATTGACTTAATATCTTACACTAGGTTCTGTTATTCCCAAGCCTACATCCCTCTCATCAGTTTCTTTCTCCTTCGTCCTCCTCCCTGATTCTGTTTCCACTGCCAGAGATTGGCTGGAAGCACAAGTGAGGCAAGTGGGTTTCCAACGGTCAGGTAATATATCCCAGAACACCCAGAAGGCCCGGGGATGAGTCTGCATCAGGCAAAGCTGAAAGCAGAAGCTGGGAGTCCAGAGCAACAGCCACACCCAAGGGAGCAGCGCCTTACAGGGGTCCCGGAACTAAGTGTCAGCATCTGATGTATGTATTCAGAGAAAAACACAATGTCACATTTAACATGCTGGTATTCCTCACCTATGCTCAGTTCCTTCTCTCGTCCACTATCAACATCCTGATTAACCTGAATTTTTACCTCCACACCAGGCCTCTCAGTTCAGCTCCAATCCTGCATATCCAGCTGGCTGTGGGATATCATCTCTTGCTAACTTCTGGAGCACCTTGAAACTATCATATCTAATTATATGTCTCTGTCATTAAGGATCTACATTTATCTGGCTGGTCCATTGGAAAAGGTAGAGTTAATGGAGTCTCAGTAAGTAATAAATGAAAACATTCAGGTGTGTTTTAACTTCAGTAGGAAGAAAATTTAACACAGTGGGATGAATTACCACTGCTAAAGTTTTGGATAAAGATTAGGAAATTTTGTAATTGTTGTCAAAGGGGTGGTCTCGGCCCCTTGAATTAATAGCATGTAGAGCCTTTCAGTCTTTGCCTAAGCTCACTGCCTGTACTTTGTTTTGTCATGACTTACACCTTGTTAAGGCAACCCTGTAAAAGGGGACAATGTGGCCTCTAAGGAGATTTCAGGCTGTAGCTCTATATAATAGCATATGTTTCCCGTGTCTGATCAGAATACGTACAAGGCCCATACTTATTTGTCAACTGGTCCATTTTCTTTCACGTGCATTGATTCTTTTTTTTAGATTCCTGCCATGGCTCCGGAGACACACAGAGTAACTTCAATGTTGACAGAAAGATATTTGGCTAACATTTATTAGTCTTTCCAGCTTAGCTAAGTAGGGTGAGATCATGACAAAGCACAAGGAAGTTTAGCCATCCTGGCCCCACTTCTAGAGTCTCTGCTTGGCCATTCACTCCTTTACTGTAGGACACTTCTGGCCCAATCAGTGCCCTCACCCACATACCTAGATTTTATAAGAAATCAAGGCATCTTTGGGGAGACACTTTTTCCTTGGGCTGCCTTGTAGAGGTGAACTATGGATCAGGTACCTAGTCACTTAATTTTCTATTTGGGAATTTGCGCAAGATATAAAAATTATGAGTTAGACAAAGTGTTAACTAAGTTAAATGGCTTTTACTCTGACCAACAGAGAGTTCAAGAATATCAATAAAAACATAAGTAATTCACTCCTTTTAGTGAGTACCTGAAGCAACACAAACGTAGTTAACTTTGGTGAAACTAATCAAATGATGAACATTAGAAAAAACTTGCTTATGTAATTCCATTGGCTTTATATATCATGTGTGCTCTACTTCTACATATGAAAAAGGGACCTGAAATATAAACCATCAAATAAGGCAAGATTTTTATATGCATTTTGTTCAGAATTTGGTTATAGAACAGTTAATCTCAACATGAAATAGCATTGGGAGGGGGTTTAATATGTGTATCCAGTCGCTGAATTAGAAATAACTGTTATTCTTAATTCTTCTATTTATTGACCCAAATATCTCTATAACACTATCTAAAAACACCCCTGTAGACAGCTTCAACTAATTATTGAATTGGAGAATAACTGTTTAAGTAAATAAATATCAGCACCAG